TTGGACACTGGCCTAGACAAATAATTTATGTGTAAAATCCCAAAAGCAAATGTAACAAAACAAATAAATGGCACCTAATTAAACTAAAAAGCTTCTGCACAGCAAAAGAAATAAACAACAAACAGACAATCCACACAACAGGAGAAAATATTTGCAAACTATATATCCAACAAAGGACTAATATCCAGAATATACTAGGAACTCAAACAAATCAGCAGGAAAAACAAAACAAATAATCCCATTAAAAAGCAAGCAAATGACATGAACAGATATTTCTCAAAAGAATATATACAAATTGCCAACAAACATAAAAGACAATGCTCAACATCACTAATCTTCAGGGAAATGCAAATTAAAACCACAATGAGATGCTACCTTATCCCAGCCAGAAAGGCCATTATTAAAAAGTAAAAAAAAAAAAACAGGCCAGGTGAGGTGGGTCATGCCTGTAGTTCCAGCACTTTGGGAGGCCGAGGTGGGCAGATCATGAGGTCAGGAGTTTGAGACCAGCCTGGCCAACATGGTGATACCCCTTTTCTATTAAAAATATAAAAATTAGCTTGGTGTGGTGGGCACCCGTAATCCCAGCTACTCGGGAGGCTGAGGCAGGAGAATCTCTTCAAACCCAGGCGGCAGAGGTTGCAGTGAGCTGAGATCGCACCACTGCATTCCAGCCTAGGTGACAGAGCAAGACTCCGTCTCAAACAAACAAAAACCAACGGTGTGGATGTGGTGAGAAGGGAATGCTTATACACTGCTGGTAGGAATGTAACTTAGTACAATCTCTATGGAAAAGAGTATGGAGATTTCTCAGATAACTAAAAGGAGATCTGCCGTTTGATCAAGCAATGCCACTACTGGTTATCTACCCAAAGGAAAACAAGTCATTATATAAAAAAGACACCTGCACTCATATGTTTACTGCAGCACAAATCAGAACTGCAAAGATACAGAACCAACCTAAGTGCCCAACAACCAATGAGTGGACATAGAAAATGTGATTTATGTATATATATACACACATATATGTGTATGTGTATATATATGTATACATATGTATGTACATAGGTGTGTGTATACATATGTATGTACATAGGTGTGTATATACATATATATACACATACATACATATAGAATAATAGAATAATAACCATAAAAAGGAACAGAATAATGTTCTTTGTAGCAACTTGGGTGGAACTGGAGGCCATTATCCTAAGTGAAGCAACTTAAGAATGGAAAACTAAATATCACATGTTCTCACTTACAAGCAGGAGCTAAGCTATGGGTGTGCAGAGGCATAGAATGGTGTTGGAGGACACTGGAGACTCAGAAGGGTACTGGGTACAATGTGTACTATTCAGGTGACAGGTACACTAAAAGCCAAAGCTTCACCACTATACAGTTCATCCATGTAATGAAAAACCATTTCTACCCCACTGAAGCTACTGAAATAAAAAGATCTTAATTTAAAAAAAAAATCTGATCTTCCAAAAAAGGGCAAAAATACATATTTGCCATTTTTTTTCTATGTCTTTACATGGCCCAAAACATCACTGGCAAACCCAGGTGTGGCCCCAAACTCCGACATCTGAAACCCAAGTCCGGGAGCCCCGGCGCCACAGGCAAATCAAGACGTTGCCGGGCACCGACTGCCTGATCCCTTCCTACCTGAGCTGGAGGTGACTGATCAGCCAGCTACATTTGAAGGCCTTTTTTTTTTTTTTTTTAAGATTAAATAGATAAGCTTTTGCTAAATTACTCAGCTTTGTTTCCTTAGAAAACTATGTTTATTAACAGAGCTAGGTTCCTTGACAAGCACCAGTTTGCTCAAATCTGTGTGTAATGCTGTTTTAACATCCCAATGCCAGGAACACTACTGGTGCTCAGTATTTGTGATGAATACACAATGGGCTGGCTAGCCAGATATAGGAATGGGTGGATTTGAGCCATTATTACTCCATGCTCATGCAGCTGAGATGCCTATAACATGCTAATGCAGGCATCATATGGTGTGAGAATATTCTCCAACTAAACAAAATAATGCCTCTGGAATACTTCTACAGGTTAGGGAGCTTTGAGTTTCTGACTCAAAGTCAATTTCGACATTTGGACTTCACTCTCTGCTTTTATCACAGTTAATCAATAATGAACTATAGCTAAACCCCAGTTTTGTATCAGGTACAAACAAATATGAACCAAATACTCTGCTCTCATAAAACCTTCATCTGAATCCTAGATATACAGGCCAGAGGCACAGACACAAACCTTCGCGTGGACATAGCTCCAGGCAAACTCCACGGCTAATAGTCTCACACCAGCCTAATAAAACGTGCTGGGACACAGGCTGCCACCAGGCTGAAGCACAGACATGGCCAAAACATGATATTTGCAAGCAGAGTGACACCAAGCCTCGCACATGAGACTATTTGGGAATTACGACATCACATTATGGCACAGCAGGATGATACTAAAACCTCACAGAGTCACCCACGACATGACTTACTTCACACAGAGCTGTTACAGGACAATTATGTTTCTTAAAAATGCAAGTTTTTCTGAGGAAGCAGAAAATCCATTAAGCACAATCAGATGGAAAGTCTCATCTCTGTAAAAAAAAAAAGCGAAGTGACACAGTCGAAGCCTGGTGTTCCTCTTACTTCTGAGTGGGTGGCGTCCCTGTTGGAGAAACATCTCAACACGAAGTCACCACCAGCACTACTAACAAGCAGCCATTCACCCACACGAGTGTTTGGAGGGCTGGTGCTGTGCTCACAAAATATTTGGATGACTAAACGCTACTGCCAGCCTCCAAAGAGACACTTAGAAACATTCTTGTAGCAAATTTATTTCCACTCCTAATTTTAAAACACCAATGAGAACACCAGCTAACAAGACATTTGAGGAACTATACTTTTTCTTTTTTTTTTTCTTTTGGTAGAGACAGGGTCTTGATACGTTGCCCAGGCTGGTCTCAAACTCCCAGCTGCAAGCCATCCTCCTGACTTGGCTTCCCAAAGTGCTGGGATTATAGGTGTGAGCCACCATGCCCAGCCAGGCACTATACATTTTTAATCAAGAATTTTCACAAAAGTAATGTATTAATCAGTTGATTCTTACAGTTAATGCTTTCAGTTGGGTTGGAAATTTTGAGAGGAATCAAAACAACCCCACTGCCTTACATCTGTATCTGAAGGAGCCTTGTGCTGAACTGCCCTGTTAAGTAGTTTCTCAAATGTATCCTCACAACTGTATCACCACAGGAATAAATCCGTTCAGATAAGTCAAAGAGAAAAAGAACCTACCAGATAAAACATTTATAAAAAGTATGAAAAACTTAAACCAGACTAGTACTGATTATAACTATCACCTCACTACACTGAGAGCTCTAAAAATAAATGAGATAACAAAAATTTGAAAGCATACCAGATGGAAAATTAGAAAGCAAACAGTCTCTCTTCTCTCAACAAATGAGCTCACCAGGGATTGGAAAAGAAAGTTTTTTCAGAGCATGAGAAAGGAAACTGCCTTAGGAAACTAGTTCCTGCTCCCTCCCCACTTCCTAGGAAGACAAAACTCAGGAGTTATATCATGACACACCTTCCAGCTCGGACAACGGAGATGCCCCAACCAAATACACACAAAGTGTGCAGCACAAAGGGAGCGCCTTTTCGCAGTGAGATTACAGGGCGCCATGCGTATTTTCTACTGCTTCATCTGTCTTCCTGGATGAAGAATATACCACTGGGGTCCAACGTGCTTCCATTCTTGACCATTTGCTAGGTTGCAAAGCCCATGACACCTACATAAATGAGATTTGACCTTACAGGTCACATACGTGGAGGAAATTAAGATATAAAAATAGGCACCACCAGAGGCAGGACTCGAACTATGGGTGGTAGGGATAACAAGAGGCTCAGGAGCTAACAGGTCGTTAGCTCTTATGTGCCAGGCACCATGCCTCAAGCCCTTCATTTAATCCTACAATTCTAAGAAGCAGGCACTATTATGAACTCCATTTTACAAATGAGGAAACTGAGGCATAAAGAGGGTTAAGGAACCTACTAACAGTCACACAGGGTCTGCTGGCCCAGACACGTTCCTTCCCAGGAATCCCACTAACTGCCAGAAAGGGTCAGGAGCAGGCAAATTGGAAAAAAACACAAAATGAAATGAAAACTTTCTATCTCCCCCCGGTCCCACAGGTAGGGAGAGTTCTATAAATCAGCTTTTAGACTAAGGATTTGGCCTACAGTCAGGATAGCAAGATGCTAGGGAGTGATAAAATTCAGTCATCACTCAAAGAATTTCCAATAAAAACCTGTCTTCCTGCTTCTGGCTCAAAGAATATCAGAAGGCACTTTTGTGCACTGATGTACCTTTTTAGAAAGGGCAACTTGGCGGTGTCCATCACTATCTCAAGTACACGTCCTAGAGATGCACTGTATATACCAGAACGTCTGCAAGTTGCAATATGCATCGTAGCACTGCTTATAGCAGCCAAAACAGTGAAAGCAAGCTAAAGCTTGTGAAGGGCAAACTGGCAAGTTTAGCCAGTGAGAGGCCTGGCTAAACAGGCTATGGACTAGTAGCATATGCTGGAATCCTAGGGAGGGAGAGCTTGGCAAAAGCCGACATGGAATACTCCCTCCAAGGCGTATTATTGAGTAGAAAGGTTGGGTACAGAACAGTATACATACTATGATCCCATCCCTACAACAATATGTCCTTAGTATACAAATGTACCTATATATGCATTCAATTTTCCTAGATGGATACCTAAAAACTGTCAATAGTTTCTTCTATGCAGCGAAGCTGGGGGAAGAGGGGAGAAAGGAAATAATTGCTTTTCATTTGTGATCCTTTTGAAGTTTCTGAATTTTTGGACCATGCTTACATATTGCCCTAATATATCTGGAAAAATATCAGAGCTTTAACTTTTCAATTTCCTTCTAAAAACTAAATCTGTGTTTTGTTAATTATACATTTTGCTAGTCGTGTACCTTGCTCCCTTCGTACACCCATCCCAGACCCTGTACACCAAAAGCAACTTGGTTGGCCGAGACATCTAGACATGTGACAGGCGGGCCGTGGGCGTAAAGGAGGGTTCTCGCGGAGTCTTCAGCTTTAAGCAGGTACATCAGGTCTCCAGCAGCAGCTATTGCCACGGGGTACCTTCTGGTTTCTGGAACTATTTCAAGGCGCTGAACCTGGCAAAAGGTAAGAGTTGTTTAGTCGTACAAATTCATCCTGACTTGGTCAAAAATATGCAGTTCCTCTTACACATCATTGAGAAGACCAGCAACCCAACAGAAAAAGATGGGCAAAGGGAACGGTCACAGGAAATGAAACACAAACAGCTCTTACACAACTGGAAAGATGCTCAGTGTAAGAGAAACACAAGACACCCCTAAAAAGAGAAAATACACAATGAAAATTCATTGAAATATGATGCTTCAACTTTCATCTCCGTAAAGATCAAGAAATCAGCTAACACCCTGGGCTGGAAGTGAAGGAGGGGAAAATCATGTTTCTGGATCCCACTTACCGCTGGTGGGGACATAATCTTTTCCAATTTCCATCAAGGGAACTTTGGAAACTGTTATCGAAATGTCAAGTATGCATGCACTCCGAGCCAGGACATCTACTTTTAGAAGTTACTCACAAATAAACTCACACATATAAAAAATGATTATGTACAAGGTTATTCATGAACTGTAATACAAATGTGTCTTAGCTAAAAACTAGAAAAACTGAAACACCCATTACTAAGGGACTAATTAAATAACTTAGTGTATCTATACACTGGAATACCATGCAGTACTAGAGGGAAGCATGAAAACGTTCTATATAAAATGAAAAAAATGGGATGATTCTCCAAGATAAGCTTAGTGGGTAAAGCAGGAAGCAAGATGAGTAAGGCAGCCCACCTGCTGACAAGTGTACAAGGCAGGGCGGGGAAAGCAGACCATGTGCTTGCCTCACACATCCATAAATCTTCTAACAATGGCTGCCTTCACGGAGGGCAGTGGATTGTGGGATGGGGAGATTTCCTACCATCAACTTTATTGTGTCTTTTAAATTCTGAACCATGAGGATGTAATAGCAATTCAAAAAATAAAAGGTTGGGATTTTTTTTTTTTACAAGAAACTGAATAAATAAAATAAAATTCACTCAGTTCCAAATTCTCAAAAAAGAATACTTTAACATTTTTGCCAAAATGTGTGGCTAAAAGGTTAAAAATATCCAAGTTATCTGCTCTCTCCTGGTTTCAATGTCATCAGGGTCCACTTGGCCACCGGAGGGTAGGAAGGGCTCTACATACACACATTTTTCTACCCACCCCCCCCTCCCCAGTCCTGACTGTGTCACCACCAGCACTTTCTCTCATGTGCATGAGTCTGAGTGTACTTTTCAAGAATAATTTGATTCTGTCCATCCACAGGCAGCCCATTTCTCCATGGTGCCATTCACAACAGAATGTCGCCTCCGCGAGTAAATCACAAGAGGACACGTGGAAGGTGAGCCACACTGTGTAATTATGAAAATCCACAGTGTGAAAGGACAGCGCTGCCCTGATCATATGCCAAAGAGTTCAAAGCTGGCCTCCAGAATACCATCCAGAGGAGCCTGAGGGAGCGTCAGCATCCGGGGGACTCTGCTAATCCTCGGGCTGGCTTCGCAAGCTGCAGGTCCACCACAAAGGACAGCCGCTCGAGGCTAATATCACAGACCTGTTAACATTAACACTGCCATCCAGGGGCATATATGAAAGGGACAACCCTGGCTTAGCTCTTCGGGCCAGGGGCAACTTTTCCAAGGATACTCAGAGCATTTTGTGGCAACCCTCCACCTAATGAAAAATAATTCCTAAAACGTGCATAAAACAAACCTCAAACAATGGCTGCTTGCTTCCTCTCATGCCCCCAAATCATTTCTTATTTTCCTAAAACTGACATCCTCCATCTAGCCCTTTAACTGTATCTCCACGCTGGCTTTCTGACAGACCATGAGGCTCAGATTGATGGTGGTGCTATTTGCTGGGGGCTGTAAACTACTTCAAAAAGCTTCCAGTCTGTGCCAGGATGCCACCTTACTGCCAAGGCAGGATTTGCACTTTACAGAGAAACTGGCATCTTAAGGAAGTATCTAGGTCCATATAGTGAATCGCTGGTCTACAGTATTCTTTAATCACAGACTAAATAGTAAGCACTATGGAAGTTTTAAGAACAGAAATATACTTTCACATTTTTTTTTCTAATGAAACCCAGATGACATGACAGCATCAGGCCGTTTTAGGGAGCACTATATCCAAACTGCAGAGGCTCATGGAGGTGAAGTGGTGATGCCATGGCTTTTTAAGTTTAGTTCTAGTCTAAGAAGATTTCCACCAGGGAAATAATAGGGAGGAATAGGATTGGTTCCAGGTCAGGCCATCAATTCATCACTCAGTGTTGGCTTTTCTGCTCACTTCCCTACCAGTGCCAAAATCAAGTTTGTTTAAATTAAATCCAAACTCAGAATAGACAGATTTGAGCACTTCCTTCTAGCACCAAATCACCTCCCACTCTACAAATAGAGAGGTTCCTGTACAACTGAACTCAGAAATAAGCTCGACATGAAGAATTCTTAAGGCTGGCTGAGCTTCACATGTGACATCCTGGAACATGGCTACCCAATTAACACCGACTTGAATCTATCTTCACTCAAGTTACTTTTAACTTTAGGCAAGACAGTCTTGGGATGAAGAAAGTGTAGGAATGGAAACCTTCTTCCCATATGGACTGGGATAACATCACTGAACTCATTCTCAGGTATATATTAGGTCAGAAACTGATCTTCGATTCCCAAGGGTGAGATTCCACAGCGTTAGTCTGAAGAAGGCCAAGGAACCAGTGATGAGCAGCTCTGGCCCTGAAGTCAGCCCTGAGGTTTGCATCACAACGTCTTAGCTCTGAGACCTGGGGCAAGTCAGTTCACTGCTCTAAGCGTCAAGTGGCTTCTTGGCAAATGGGGAAAATGCTACTACGTATTTTGTAAGGCTGTAGTTAGATTTATAGATGTAAGGCCCATAGGAAGCTCTGAGTGAATGCGAGTTTGCCAACACTATCAGTACGTGCTTATATTAGACCCAGAGATTCTAAGAATAGGAGATAAAATGACCAGACTAAAAGGCTCACCAGTTTCGGAACTTCAAATTCCGCAGCTATCTGCCAGTACCCCTCCTCATTGGGGGATAACATCACGATGTCAAAAGCAGAAGCCGTGGCCACAGCTGCATCGTCCTGGCTGAGGGCTAGTGCCTGTATTCTTGCATCGTGCTCAAAACGATGAACAGGGTACCTTCCGGTTCTTAAATCCCAAATATTGAGAAACCCTGTGCAGCAAGAAATAATGCAGGAAACAAGTTTACATTTGTTTATTATGTTCAATTATTTTTAAAACATGCAATATAAAAGAAAATTTTTTCAAAGAGATACCTTAGAAATGAGACCCAGTTCTAAACATGAAATCATTTATGTTTCATATATACCTGACACACGTGGCCTGAAGGTAATTTTATACAATATTTTATTTTACTTTTTGTTAGAAACAATGTCTCACTCTGTCGCCCAGGCTGGAGTGCAGTGGTGCTATCACAGCTCACTGCATTCTTGAACTGCTGGGCCTAAGTGATCCTCCTGCCCCAGCCTCCCAAATAGACAGGACTGTAGGTACATGCCACCATGCCTGGCTAATTTTTAAGTCTTTGTAGAGACAGGGTCTCACTATGTTGCCCAGGCTGGTTTTTTTTTTTTTTTGAGCTATTGGGGTCAAGCAATCCTCCTGCCTCTGCCTCCAATACTGCATTGCGTTGGAATTACACACGCGAGCCAACATACGTGGTCTATACAATATTTTAAATAATTCTGTGCATGAAGCAAAGTTTCGGCTGTGTTTTGGCTACAAACCCATCACATGAAGTTAGGTGTGAAATTTTCCACATGTAGCATCATGTCAGTGCTTCAAAAGTTTCAAAGCATTTTGGATTTTTGGATTAGGGATGCTCAAATGTATTTTACATCCTTCGTCACCCCCATTCTCCTAAAGCCTCTGTTAGCAGCAGCGCTTTATTTTGCACAGTTCTAAAATATGTGCTTCCATATCCCACACTCGTCAAAAATGCCCATTTTCCACTCTTCTCCCAGCACCTTGAATGCTGCTACCCAGATTAATTCCTCTTTTGCACACTGGCCATGTCACCACCTTTCTCCAGGGTGGTTTGCAGACTGGTAGCATCAGTACCACATGGCGAATTATTAGAAATGCAGACTGTCAGGCACCAGCAACTCTGGCGATGTCCACTTGAGATTAGGGCCAGTGGTCTACGGGAGCTTATGCTTTTCTACCAGTCAGCTAAACTTTTCTGTGCTTAGCATGTCATTGATTCTTCTTTCCTCACAAATACTTTCTTTTTTTCATTCCCATCCACAAAACTATTTCCTCTCCCTCAAAGAGTTACCCAAGAAAATAATAACTTTCTGCATTAGGCTGGTTAATGCCCTGCTCCAATTCCAGTTCATTCACCGAGAAATAAATGTGTGGAGGTAACACAATCTGTGGCTATTTGAGTTCAAATCCAGCTCCAGCACTTGTTAGCTGAAGGCCTTAGGGAAGCTGCTTAACAGCTCTGAGCCTGTTTGCCTTTCTGTCAAGTTGAAGATAACATTACCTACTGCACAGGACTGTGGGGTAGATGAAAGTAGACCAGCCACACAAAGCGCTTAAGATGGACCATTCCTTTATTTCTACGGAGTCTATAGTTCCTGCTGCAGTATAAAACATATTTAATCTATCAATAATGCTTATTTCCCCTCTATTTCTCATCTGTAAATCTAGTCCTATTTTCTATAACTTCCTATTATCTCGAACAGACCAAGCTTTTTGCTTTCCTTCTCTTGGCAGTGTCTTCCTATTTTTCTTTTTTCTTGACTTCTACTTTGTCTTTAAACTGTAAATGCTTTGAGTTTAGGATCTTACTATAAAGAATCATTCAGCACTAAATAAATATAGAGAACTGGAAGAAAATAATACATTTGGGCTGCTTTGCCAGACTTTCAAACTGTCAGTAGGCTAAGTAAGCAATCATAAACAAAAGCAGAGCCTTTTCAAGCTAACTGTTGCTTTGCATCTGAAACAGTGTACTCTTCAGAATCATCATAAACTTGGGGGATAAGCAGATTACAAAAGGTTCCACAGCACATTCCCCTGGCATCTATTTGGGTAACTTTTTTCCATTCCGACTCAGAAGAGAAAACTATGCTGCAGAAAATGCCAGCGGCTCTACAGATCAGATAGGAGACAGGCTCTCCAAGATGCCTGGTCTTAACATGGGCTTCCTTCAAACACTTCGCACTGCATTTGTTTTGAGACATCCCAACAGTAAAGAGAAATAAAAACTGCTATTTGCATAGAGCTTCTGTGTCTTCAGAAACTCACGTGTCTCCTCTCACTGAGCATTCACCTCCATCTTGGGAGGAGCACGATTTTACTCCTCTCCCAGAAAAGAAACAGAAGCACCCAGTGGTTAAACAACTTGGTCCAAAGCCACTTGGTATGTCACGAAGTTGGGCTGAAATTTAGCTAGAAAAGTGCAGGATGAGCGGCTGCATTGGTAAGTGCATAAAATAACTATGAGCTCAATGAGTGACGAACACCATCAAACTCACCCTGGGTGCTGCCAAGCGTGGAAGCTATTTAACCACAGCTCACTCTAAGCCACATGGAGTTTATCTATAAACACATTTTTCATTATTAATCAAGTTTGATTTTGCTGGCATCATTTTTCCGACAGAACTTTATGCAATAAAATGCCCTTCACCACAAGGTTGAGTTCCATAGAGCCATCCCGAGAAGAGTTTTGGGGGAAAAGAAAATTCCAGGGTTTCATCAATTTTATAGTCAAATCTTTCTCTCCTGAAAGCCTGTTGTGTCATCATCTTTTTCAGTTTCCTCTACTTCAATTATAAAATGTCGCACTTGGTCATATCCGCACTTGTCAGTGGGGCTATCATTTGCACAGGCCTTCAACATCATTTTTAGCTGCAAAAACATTTAGGATTGTTATGTCCTCTTGATGAGTTGATTCTTTATCACAGGCAAAGTCCTCTGTGTCCCTGGTTATTATCATCTTTGCTCTGAAATCCATGTTGAGAGTGACATGGCCACTCCAGCTTTCTATTAGTGTTAGCATGCAGAATTTCTCTCATCTTTTCACTTGTGTCTTTATATATTTAAAAGAGATGCCTTTTCTGCAGGGTTTCTATAGACAGCTTATAGTTGGTCTTGCTTTTAATTGGGGTGTTTAGATGATTTATATTTACTGTGATTATTGATAAGGTTGGGTTTAATCTACCATTTTGCTAATTTTTAAAATTCATCCCATTTGTTCTTTGCTCCCTCTTCTCCTCTTTCATTGCCTTTTTTATTTTTTGGATTGAGTATTTGTGAAAACTGAATGTGTTTATTCCATTTTAATTCCTTTGTTGGCTTCTTAGCCAAAACTCTTTGTTACGTTGTTTTAGAGGTTGCTTTTGGATTTTATCTTAAGTATTTAACTTACCAGTCTACCTGCAAGTAATACTGTATCACTTCACATGTTACATAAGAACTTCAGGTATGGTGTGGTAGGTCATGCCTGTAATCCCAGCACTTCTGGAGGCTGAAGTGGGTGGATCACTTGAGGTCAGGATTTCATAACTAGTCTGGCCAACATGATAAAACCCCGTCTCTACTAAAAATACAAAAATTAGTCAGGTATGGTGGCGGGCACCTGTAATCCCAGCTACACAGGAGGTTGAGACACGAGAATCACTTTAACCTGCGAGGTGGAGGCTACAGTAAGCTGAGATCTTGCCACTGCACTCCAGCCTAGGTGACAGAGTAAGACTCTGTCTTAATTTAAAAAAAACAAACAAAACTTTACAGTAACATACTTCCATTTCTTCCCTTCTAGCCTTTGTGCTATTATTGTCATACTTTTTACTTTCACATATGTTACAAACTGTTTATTTGTACATTTTGTAAACCTTACATACATTGTTATTACTTTTGCATAAACAGGCAATTATCTTTTAAAGATATTTAAATAATAAGAAAAAAAGCCATTTCCAGTTATCCATGTACTTACCACTTCTAGCTCTTTCACTGTCACTTTCAACATCACAAGTCCTGCAGTTTGTACAAGGCTTACAATGTCACTTTGAACTGTATTGTTGGATATCTGCCCCAAAAGCATATGGGCAGAGTGGGCAGGAATAGATACAGAAGCTAACAGGGAGGGATGTTTGAGGGAAAGCTAATTTTATAAATGGTCACTTTATCAGTTACTACAGTTATATCATGACTATTTTTATAATCTCAAAACTGCAAGGACCTGCACAGTGAATAACTGAATTGTAAGAATGCTCTATAATATTGTGGCTGATTACCATCCATGTTAACCAACGTTTAGCCAAAAAGGAATCAGTGCAATGATACACTCAACAGGTAGTAATGGAGCTCCCTGTTTTGCACCAAGGCGCTATTCTAGGTACTGCGGATATTATAGTGAATAAGACAAAATACAACAAGAAAAAAGTCCCTGACTGATGGAGCCAACATTTTAGTGACATGTAAGAATTGAAAGAATATGATACTTATTCTTACAAAACACACACTGGAGAGAAACAAATATTTAATAACTAAAATGTAAAATAAAACACAGTATCACAGAGAGATATACACAAAGCACAAAGGAGCAATGAACAAGCTTAACTTCTGGTCATGCTGTCACACTATTTTAAGACCCCAGAAAGGAGCCGCTAACTTCTCCAGATGTTTTGACTTGAACCAGGTCCACAGCTATTGCATAACTACTAAGGAAGAAGTAGTCAATGACTGTCAGAGCCAAGGAAATTCACTTTTCAAACAGGTACTTTTTTAATCTGATGTAAATTCATTTGAAAAGTCAAGTTTAGTCATACTGCTGACGTAGCAATGAAGAGGATTTGGCTCCTGACACTGTGTGGACTTGTGAAGTGGCAAGACTGTGTCCTCTTCCCTCTATATGCCCTTCGGTAGGGAATTCAGAGTGCTGGATGTGGCTGAACATCAATAAAGGTTTGCTGAATGCCTGTCATATGTTTCAGCAATGGAACATTTGGTTGTAAGAAACAGACACCCACTGAAACTGGCTTAAACACAAAAAGGAAACTGGCTGGAAAGGAGTGAAGCTATTTCATGGAGCCCAAGGGCAGGAAGTACAGCTGGAGATGATCGGGTATCAGAATCACGAAGTAGGAAGACATGCAGAACCAAGGCAGTATATGTATCTTGTGTGCACCAAAGATCTTGTCT